GAATGGCGGGATATAGAAAAACGGCCTCGAAGAACCCGACGATGGCTCGTCGGAGTCCTCCGCGGCGCCCCCGCCCCCGTTGCTGCTGTCGCTGCTGCTCCCCGAGTCGGACGAGCTGGACGAAGAAATGGTGGCAAGATGCTCCGCCAACAGCCCTAGCACGGGTGAGTCTGGCCGCCCGCGTTGCCAGACGCCGACCGCCACGTCAGCAGGTGGGCAAGCGGCATCGATCTCCTCGTGGGAAAGCAGAGGGAGATTCTCAGGCTCTATGAGCTTGTGGCCCCTCGCCCGCTTGGTGTAGCCTTCGCCCACAAGGCACCATAGCTTCAAGCGGCGAAGCACCTCGTCTTCATCCTCGGGTTGGAAGTGGCGCCTCTTGGTGCAAGCTGTCGTGCGGGCGTCGCCCCTGTCGTGGTGGAATCGGCACGTGACTAAATACATAGGCCCGTAATCATCCACACAACGGCATATGCGGAACGGGCCCCACTTCCCGCTCGCAGGGTGTGCAGGCGCAGGCAGCCGCGGACCGCGTTGCAGCGGCTCCGCGCGTGGCGGGGGCGACGGCGGTGGCGGCGGCGACCCTGGGGGTTCGCTGCCACCGCGCGGCGGTGGCGTCGGAGACCGCGACGGGGCTCGTGGCCCCGACGGTGACGGCATTGGCGACCGCGGTGGGGGATCTGGATGTGGCCCAGGGGGTTCGCACGGCGAAGGTGGCGACAGCTCGGGCGACATTGCCCAGGATGGCGCTGGCGAGGGCTCTCGCCCAGCGCTTGGGGGATGGGGAACGGGCGGCGGCGAGGTCGAAGGCGCTGGCCCTGACGGTTCGGGTTCAGGCTGAGGCGTCCCAGGCATGCCATCAGGCGTGGCAGTGCCGCCAATGGGCGTGGCAGTGCCGCCAATAGGCGGTGTTGCGCCCCCATGGCCCCCACGGTCGCTCTCGATGGAACCCATGGCGTCTGAGTCGTGGCCGTCGCCCTCGATGGGGGGGCGATCCGCCGCATCGCCCTCGATGGCGAGAGGCATCTGGTGCATCGCCTTGGCATCGCCTCTCCGCCGCCGCCTCCGAGGGCGCCTGAGGCAAATGCAGCAAACAATGCGACGCGGCACAGCGGCAGAGCACCGCGGGCGCACGCTGGGCGCTGGGCTGGGCGGCACCTGGTGCACTCTTGCACACGTTCGGCACTTGGCTGGCACAAGGCGCACCTATCTCACCCCCCCTCATTCCGTCCCCCCTCCTCCGCGCCACCCGCCTCCCGCGCCCACTAATATGTTCTTCTCCCCCTCCCTCTTCCCCCATCCGCCATCCCACCCCTTCCCACCCCTCCACCGTTCCTTCGCTGCCGTCACCCGCGCCCCCGCGCTGCCCGCCCGCCCCCACCCCCTCCCTTCCTTTCCCCCGCCCACACACACACCCCGCCCTGCGCTGCGCGCTGCGGTACTCTGCACTGTTGCGCGCACGACGCATTTTTTGCCCATGTCCTGTCGCCGCCAGCCGTGCCCGTATCATCCTCGATAGCTAGCTTCTCACCACCACCAAGAGCGTCATAATATTTAGCCGTGCCCACGTGAGATACTACCGCATCCCCCGACAGTAGACAACGCATGTATGCTATGCCAACCGATTCAGCTCCTCTCCGATAGTACCAAACCCGATCAGCATTCGGATCCCCTGGGTCGAACGGGGCAGGCAAGGAATCTTGCCCCTTGACCTTGGCGGGTAGAAGCTTGCCCGTCCAACCCTGCTCTCGCAATTTGTACATCAATTCCCATGCCGTCGCATCTCCGTCCGCGATGCCCTCGCGCGGCCTGAGAGCGGGCCGCGGCGCCGTGAGCACGTCGAATGCCCCCAGGTCGGCCATCGCATGTTCGGTCAGACGCCATGCTTCCACGGTCCCGCCGAAGGCCGCGGCAACACGCACGTCGTCACGGATGGCGTAACCTACCTCCTCGAACGTGCGCACGATGGTTCTGTCAAGGGCCGCGTCGCCACCCTCGCCCAGCATGTATGCAGTGTCGGAACCAGGAATGCCACCGCAGTTCACCATGTCAGTCAACAGGTACGCCGCCCGACCGTGCGTAGCAGGGTCCACGCCAGGAGGCCAGCCATGATTGGGCATGTAGAGCATCTCGCCTGTGGGCTGCCACTCCTGTCTGGGCGCCCGAAATGGATGCGGAAAGAATGCGCGCAACGCCAAACAACAGATGTCGTCCCAAACCAGCAGCGGCCGCTGTTAGTCAGGCTGCCTTCTGTCTCACATGGGCACAGACCGCGGCGGCACCGACAGCGAGCCCTGTTCAAACTGAGCGGGAACTGTTGTTGGGCATGCTATACACCCTTTCCGTGTCCAGTTCGTCCGTGCCGATCCTGGAATGACTCCTGGAGGTCATGCACGTTCTCGAGATGCCGCCTACTCAAGATGCGGGTGCTGCCCTCGAACACGCCACCGTCGGTATCATGGACGCCCTGCGAGGCCACCAGGAGCGACGGCTGCCCGTCAAGGTCGTACGCACCACGAATGTCATGCGTCGAGATGGCGACGTCGTCGCGGCCCAAGTTGCAACCAGGCGGTCTGACTAGCTTCCGAGAGTTCGGGTTTAGACGAACGACCTTGAAAGCAGTGCGTTGTTGCAGGGGTACGTCGCGCTCCCTGATGGCTGCAAGGACGTCGTCGGGACCGTCGGGGAGCTCGGGGCGGTCCGCGGCGGCGGGCATGAGTGCAGGCGCCGTGTACATCGCGTCTGTGAGGGGCAGGAGTTGCGGCAGAGATAGATCTCGAACGCCAGACAGGGCGTCCGCCAGCAAAGGCATTTCCACTGGTCGGGCGCCGATGGTGTAGTAGGACGACGCGTTCGCGACTTAACGGAAATGCTGCAAGGCGTGCGAAGAAACCAGCCTCCACGCGAAACACAACCCCGTGCACACTCCCACGCAACTTACGCAACACGTGCGAGGCCAGGCCACATGTCTCAGACACCCCGTCCGCCGTCCGCCGTCCGCGAGCAACGCTTCCCCTCCTCCGCAGCCTCCCCCTCCTCCTCCTCGGGGCCCTCGGGGAAGGGGGGGGGGGGGGGATTGGGGAGGGGTGGAGAAGATGAGGCGGAGGACGATGTGGAAGATGAGGGAGGCAGCGGCAGGGCGGAGGACATATTCCATGGAGGAGGCTCGGAGGAGGCACGGAGGAGGTGGAAGAGGGCGGGGAGGGGGGGGAAGAGGAGGAGGGAAGGCCCTGACGGGGATAACTTATAAGGAAGTCTCGAGCGGGAATTCAAAAGAAGTAGCTTCCAACTGTTGCTTCGTTTGAGTAGATTACGAGGAAGTCTCGAGCATCGAGCAGGAGCTGCGCTGCGCGGAGGATGAGATGAAGGCGGAGGTTGTGGAGGAGAACGTGAAGGGAGGATGCCCAGGGCGAGGTGGAAGATGTTTCGGAGGAGTCACGCGGGAGTGATGGAAGAGGAGGTGGAGGATGGGGTGGAGGAGGAGGCGGGGGATGGAGGATGGAGGAAGGGGTGGAGGAAAATGCGGGGGATGTGGTGGAGGATGGTTCGGAGGAGGCGGCATGGAGGAGTAGGGGTGGAAGAGGAGGTGGAGGATGAGGTGGAGGATGCGAGGATGCTCGAGGATGTGTTGGATGAGGTGGAGGATGGCATCGATGGCTCGGTGGAGGAATGGAGGAGGGAATGAGGTGGAGGATGGTTCGGGTGAAGCATGGGGGAGGGATGAGGTGGAGGAGGAAGCGGGGATGGATGGGGGGTGGGATGTGGAGGAAGACGCGGAGGATGAGGTGGAGGATGGCTCGGAGGAGGTATGGAGGAGGGGTAGGAGAGGAAGTGGAGGATGAGATGGAGGCGGAGGTGGAGGATGGAGGGGGATGCGGAGGAGGATGTGGAGGATGAGGTGGAGGATGGCTCGGTTGAGGCATGAGGGAAGGATGGAAGATGAGGAGGAGAAGGAGGCGTGGCATGGATGGAGGAGGAGGTGGAGGAACATGCGGGGATTAGTGGAGGATGGCTCGGAGAAGGTATGGAGGAGGGGTGAAAGAGGAGGTGGAGGCATGGAGGAGGATGTGTAGGATTAGGTGGAGGATGGCTCGGTGGAGGCATGGAGGAGGGTGGAGGAGGAGGTGGGGGACGAGGTGGAAGAGGACGCGGGGGATGGGGAGTGAGGTGGAGGATGGCTCGGGGGGGGCCTGTCGGAGGGATGGAAAAGGACTGAAAAGGAGGTGGAGGATGAGGGGGAGGAGCAGGTGGAGTATAGAGGAGGCTGTGGAGGATGATGTGGAGGATGAAGAGGGAGGTGTTGGATGGAGGTGGAGGATGGAAGTGCCTCTCTCCCCATCGTCTCTCCTCCTCCTCGCCTCTCTTCTCTCCCTCTTCCGTCATCCTTGTCCTCTATCCTCCTGCTCCTCGGCCTCTTCTCCCCTCCCATTCCTGCTCCTCGTTCCTCCTCCTCCCATCCGGCCCGCCGGAGCATTCCCCCCACCCCCCGCCCCCTGACCCCGGCGCAACCTCCAGACAGAGATACCGCAGCGGCCCAGCGTCAAGACGGCGAGACGCGAAAGGGCCTGAAGGCTTCCCTGAATGCGGCGGCGGGCGGGGGGGCGGAAGGGGGGAGGGCCCGATGAGGGATGTGACATTGCTGCGGTGCTGCTGCGGCAGACGGCGGACGACCCCCTTTCCCCGAATTTTGGCTGACCGTTTAACTTAGTTTCCTGCCCAGCTTGCTCAGTGGCTGGGCGGGGCCTGGATACGACACGTGGCGCCACCACGGTTGCATGCGAAGTGCACGGGGTTGTTTTTCACTGGCCCACGGTGCCTGCAACCGTGGTTGGGTGACTCATCCTTGCTCAAAGAAATGCCCTTGGCCGCTGGAGGCACAGCACGCTCGAGAACAACGTGGCGTCGGTGTTGAGTCGACGGGTCCATCCTGTAGAAAACAGTGGCCAACAACTCCCTGGTGAAGGCGCCGTTCCTGGCTGCTGCTGCCGTCAACGTGTGGTGGCCTTGCAGGTCGAACATGCGGGCGATCTTCTCGGGTGACTTTCGGACTTCCCCGACCGTGGTGGCAAGGCGCAGGAACATCTGTGGGTCGTACTTGAGTTGTCGAACCATGCCTGGGAGCTTCAACATCACGTCAACGGAGGCCCCGCCTGCGCGCGGGGCCCTCGACGCGTTCAGCTTGTTGTGTCGGTGGCGGCTCTCGATGGAGCGCTCGCAGATCGGGATGCACTGCATGGAGCCAGCCATCCGCTTCAAGTTGGGCAGGTCGTCGAGGGGCGCCCCGCCGATGAAGCTCTGCACCTCGCCCCAGGAAGGAGATGACGGGTCGCAGACCTGGGCGACGAGTGGCCAAAGACCATGGCGCTGCTCGTCCGTGAGCGCCGCGTACATGTCGATGCAAGAGCGCACGGCGTCCCTGGCTGGGCCCTGGCATGACCCCGCAGCAGGAGTGCACCCCAGCGCACATAGCCGATGTGGAAGGCGCGTCCAATGGCCGAGCTTTGATTCCATCACTTCCATTAGTGCTGTCCTGCATCGTTCGAACTCTCGCACGACCATTGTTCTGTCGGCTGGCTGAAGCGCCGCTGTCCGCATGACGAGCGCACCGAGCGACTGCCCCGCGAGCTCCCGCAACAAATGCATCGCCTTCCCCGCCGCGACCTCGGGGGCGCGGCGCCCGCGCAAGGGGCGCGGGGCATGCCGCGCGCCCGTCTCCGTCCCGTAGTCACTCCGTCTGGCGAAATACGGACGGGCAGCGCTGAAGCCTGGCTTGTACCTGAAGTCGGTATCATGGCAGACGCAGCTCTCGCACCAATTCTGGAACTCGAACAGGATCCCGTGTGCAACCAGGAGGATCATGTGCCCGTACGCCCAGAAGGCAGGACTGTTGATCGCCTCGTTGACGAGCTTCAGCTCTTCTCTACTGTCTGGAGCAGCCGTCTCCGCCCTGGGCCTCTGCGGGTCTGCCTCGGCACCCCCGCCGCCGCCGCCGACGTCCAGCGCCCCAGACCGAGAGTTGTAGGAGGCGAGATCCCAGTAGTGTCGGAGACCCACCTCGCAGTACTGGAGCTGGACCAAGGCTGGTATCCAAGACCCGAAGCGCCATTCGGTTGGTTTGGTCGTGACGGCCTTGATGCTGGCGTGGTGCTGACGTGCGCCCTCCGAGGAAAAACACCGCTCAAGGAGCCGATTCCTCGTCCACTCGTCCGCGAGCAATTTCACAAGGGGCTTGCATCTATCAATATACCACTGCTCGTGCTTTAGCGCCTTGATCACATCGTTCAGCCCGCTGTTGCAGATGTGGAGGACGCCTGCAACTTGCAGCGAGGAGGCAACAAAAACCTTTCGCAGCGGCCCGCTCCTCGTCTGCGGCAGACGGTCGGTGCGGCGGCGGTGGGGAAAGAAAAAAAGACAAAACAAAAAGAAAAACAAACGAAACAAAAAACAAAAGAAAACAATAAAAAAAAAGACAGACATAAAACAAGAAAAACCATCAAAACCCAAACACCCCACACCTCCGCCCTACCACCTCCCACATCCACTCCACCGCCCCCCCCCCCCTCTCTCCCCCCCCATCCCCCCCCTCCACTCAACCCGGGGCCAGTGGGGCACGTGGGGGCGTGCCCCCGTATTTCCTCAGCAACGGACGAAAGGCAAATCGGTTCGGGTGTACAGATTCCCCCGAAGTGCAGGCTGAGGGGCACGGCCACCAGCCATGCCGTTGTCGTCTGCTGCGTCCATGTTGCCGCCGTCTGGGGAGCCAGCTGCTGCTCGGGCGCCGCCGTCTTCCTCGAAGTCCATCTCGTCTGCGAACATGGCGTCGGCTGCGGGGGGGGCAGCGGCGCCGTCGTCGTCCGCGATGCCCGCGAGGTCGGGCGCCGCCGCGGCGGCGCTCTGGGGGCCAGCTGGAGCAGCAGGGGCAGCGCGACCGTCATCATCTTCAGCGCGGACGTCCAGCCCGTGGGGGAAGGCTTGCGACAGATCTGCTGGGAGGGCGCTGTGCAAAGCAGACTCCGTGCCAAGGTCTGAGCAGAACGCCAGGGCGCGCTGGCTGCGCATCTGCGCCTCCGCCATAGAGGGCGACGCAAGGCGAAACTGGTGGATCAGAGCGTGGAGTTTGTCGCCTGCCTTTGTCGCCTGGGACCCCATCCCGAGCGCCGTGAACTGGTGGTGAGTGAAAAGTTTGTGCAGTTCCCTCGTCAAGCTCTGGTATCGGCGAGACGCCTCCGCCCGCGAGTCTGGCACCTATTCGGCATCGTAGTCGTCGTCCTGCTCAAGGCCCCCGCTGCCGTGGCCGTGGGCAAAATCAACAGCGTCCTGCCTGACGCGTTGAAGCTCCCTGCGCAAGTCGTACACCCACACGGCGTCCGCGCACTTGAAAGACTCTGTCATCTGCCAATCGACGCCGAGTAGTGGGCTGCTGTCGCTCAGCACGCATTCGACCGAAGGGGCGTCCGAAGTCAGGCCAATGCGAGTTTGGTGTTGCTCCTCCTTGCACAAAGCGGCGTCGAGGGTGAAGAAGTAGCCCTGCACGGTTTGTCGGACAGGCATGCCGCCGCTGTGCTGGAGCGACTCCAGCAGCGGCTCGCCCAGCTTCCCTGGGAGGACAATCTTGATAGCATCTCTGAGCGTGCTGGTCAAGTGCTCGGCCCCGTGCAGGTGCGATGACAACAGCATCGCGTTGATGACGGTCTCCGCGGCCATCCTGACGCGCTTGCGCACGCCAGAGAAGGTGGGGTTCCCACGTAGGCTGTCCGAGACATCGGTCAAGTAGTGGACGGCTTCTGCAACGGCAGCATGGCGATGCTGCTGGGCGGCGTCTGGCAGCGTCCGGTAACAGTCGAGGAGGGCGGCGGCCACCATGTCCACGGACGAAGCCGTCAGGCGGGCAACGCCTCGCGGCACGATGGGGTTGTCTCCCACCGCGGCCGCGGCCAGGTCGAGGCCGAAGGTGGCGTCGAAAGCACGGTCGGCCTGGCGGCTGCGCCTCGACAGCCGCGTGGCCGACGGCCACATGTGCACTGAGCGGAAGATACCACGTGTGATCAGCTGCACCATCGGGACTCTGGGGATGTACGCGTACTGCGGCCCCTGCACGGCGTAGCCCTTGTCCCTCCACGAAGCAAGTACGTCTCGAACCTGTGGGGCACTGTGATTGAAACGCTGGGAGAAAACCGCCGCCCACCTGCGTGCAACTTAACCCTAAAACCCCTCCGCCAGAGCGGCGGCGGAGGGGGGGGTGAGGGGCGGGTGGGGGGAGGAAGGAGGGGGGGGAGTAGGGCGAGGGCGCAGGGGGGGAGGAGGGGAAAAGGAGGAGGAGGGAGGCAGGAAGGGAGGAGGAGGGAGGGGGAGGGGGATATGAACACTGAGGCTTGTATAACCGAAACGGTGAACATGTTGGTTAACACGAGACGAACACGAACACGGGCACGAACACGGGCGCGGCGGTCTGACTACGCCACCATAACAAATGATGCATTTAACATGCCACAGGGCTTGTCGGCCACCGTTCGGGCCATGTTCCCACGCAGAGGGGAGACGAGGGGGAGAGGAAGGGAGGGGGGAGGGAGGGAGGGAGGGAGGAGGGAGGGAGGAGGGAGGGAAGGAGGGACGATGGTGTGATGATGGCGTGGTGGATGGATGCAGGCGGGCGGAAGTCTACTCCAGAAGCGCGTTTCCACGCAGTACCCGAGACCTCGGGTAGCCCACAGAATCGCTGAAGGATCTGGCCGATGAGCTTGAACGGGGTCCGTGACTCGAACTCGGCGCTGCGCAGCACCCGCAGCGCTCCGTTCAAGTCGCGGTCGGCGACGGCCGACTGCGAAGGGCCCACGGCGTGGACCTCCAGAACCCTGCTGCGGAAGAGGCGGCCTCGCCCCCCATCCGCTCGCAGGGCGGCCCGCACCTCGGGGTCCCCGAGGTCGATTGCCTCCACGGGCAGCGCGGGCTTCCCCAGGAGAGCGAGGGCGACCGCACGGTCCAGGTCGCCCACGTCGGCCGTGGGGACCTGCAGACCTCGGCCGATTACAATAAAATGGGAAATCAGTTTCGGGATTCGGTCAAATGGGAAATCAGTTTCGGGATTCGGTCTTGAGGCAGGGCGGGGGTTCTGAACCCCCGCGACCCTGCTCCAGGGCCCAAGCGAGGTCAGCCTCGGCGACGAGGCAGCAGTCCCTCGACCAGTTCTTCAAGCGAACTGGCCGAGAGACGAGAATGATGGCCTCTGCCATCGCCGCAAGCCTGGGGATGGGGGAACGGGAAGGGGGTGGAACGGGAGGGCGACGGAGGGAATGGTTTGGGATGGGATGGGATGGTTTGGGATGGGATGGAAGGCGGGATGGGAGAGGGGAGGGGGATGGGAGGAGATGCCATCTCCGAGATGGGATGGGATAGGAGGGGATGGGATGAGAAGAACAAGGGGCGGGATTGGAGGGGATGGGATTGGAATGTGAGGGAGTGGTTAGGGTACGGGGGGTGGGATGGGGATGAGGGGGATGATGGGATGGGGAGGCGAAGAGGAAGAGAGGGTTCCTGCCCCTCACGTCCATGCGGCCGCCTGCGGCCCGTCCCACTGTGGGGGCATTGGCCCAATGCCATTTGGCACGGAACCCTTAGATAAGGAATTCAGGGTCTGGTCTAAGTGGAATTCCAATCGTGGCGGGTCGGCCGCCGATATCACCGCCGTGAACCCCACGGCGCCTGTACACTGTGAACATCAAAGCAAAGCACTTGTGAACACACTGTGCTCACAAGCGCTTTGATGTTCACAGGCGCTGTGTTCAACACAGCGCCTGCAAACGCAAGGGCACGGAACCCTTGGATAAGGAATCCAGGGTCTGGAAGCATGTGGAATTCCAATCGTGGCGGCCTGCAGCCTCTTGGGCACATTCTTTAACGACCGCCCCCACCGTAATTCCCCTTCCCCGCCGCCCTTCCTCTCCCTCCCCCGTTCCACCACCCCCCATTCCCGTTCCTTCCCGTCCCCCCGTTCCACATTCCCCATCGTCCCTCCTCACTCCTCCGTTGCGGGCGCCGCGGCCGCCGCGCCGCGCCTTGATGAAGATGCGGCGCGGCGAAGCGCAGCGCGGGGCCAGCCTCGCGGCCCGCGGGAGGAGGAGGCGGAGGAGGAGGAGGAGGAGGAGGAGGAGGAGGAGGAGGAGGAGGAGGAGGAGGAGGAGGGCGACGAGGCGACGCGGAGGAGGAGGTCGGACAGGATGGCAGGATAGGATAGGACGGCGCCCATCTGGGACAGGACAGGACAGGCTAGGATAGGCGACGAGGGGGATGATAGGATACGGGAGGCAACGAGAAGGAAGATCTGATAGGATGGGATCGGCTACGATAGGATAGGATAGGATAGGGTAGGATCGGGTAGGGCAGGATAGGATATGGTAGGGGATGGGATGGGATAGGACAGGCTAAAAGGAGGATATGACAGTACAGGGCAGGGTAGGTTAGTATGTTATTGGATAGGGTAGGCCGGGTAGGATAGGATCGGATAGGATGGGGATCGAATCGGATATGATAGGATAGCGCAGGAGGATGCTACACTATGACATTATAGCACATAGCATGACATGAGAATATATGATGGGAAATGATCGGGTATGATAGGACCTGGTAATATAGGGTATGGCAGGATCGGGGGATGATAGGACATATTATGATATGATCGGATAGGCTATGGTAGGATCGGATGGGCGGGGGAATAGGGTAGTATAGGGTACTGCAGGGTAAGATCGGATATGCTAGGATAGGGTAGGATGGGATAGGATAGGATAGGATAGGACAACATGGGAATCGGATCTGATAGGATCGGATGCCATATGATATGGTAGGGTAGGCCCCAGGGTCGGATAGGAGGAGGGCAGGAGGAGACAGAATCTGACAGGATCAGATTGGATAGGGTAGGATCGGATTGGATAAGATAAGATTGGATAGGATAGGGTAGGAGGACAGGTGGAGGATAGGACAGGATAAAATAAGGGGCAGTCCCAATCCTGAACTGTCCTCCTCTTCTTCCTCCCCTCGGCCCTCCCCCATCCCCCATGCCCTTCCCTCGACCCTCCCCTCGACCCCCCCCCTCGACCCTTCCGTCTCTCGACCCTTCCGTTCGCCCTTCCCGTCCTTCTCCCCCATCCCCTCGCGAGCCTGCGGTCGCGGCGGCGGCGGCGGGCCGCGGCGCGGCGGCGGCCGCGGCGCGCGCGCGGCGCGGGCGGCCAGCCGCGGGCGGCTGGCCGCTCGAGCCGCCAAGCGCGGCGGCGGCGGGCGACGCGCGAGGCGAGGGGAGGGGCCCAGGACCCAAGGACGAGGCGAGCGATGGGGACCAACCAGCAAGCGAGGGGGAGGAAGAGAAAACGGAGAACGGCGAGGAGGACGATTAGGAGGACGAGCAGGACGAGGAGGAGGGCCGAGGACGAGGGCGAGGACGAGGAGGCCTAGGGAGAGAACGAGGGGGCCGAGGGGGCGGAGGGTTGAGGAGTCTGAGGAGGTGGAGGAAAGTAATTAAGGGAAAACGTGTTATGAATCCTGAAAACGCTAGGAACATCACAGACTACATCCTCCTCATCATCCTCGTCCTCCTCCTCGACCATCCTCGTCCTCCCGTACCCTTGCTGCAACCGATAGTGAAGGAACGTGGCTTTAACAGCGAAATGCTTAAGAAACCATGGGTTAAGAAATTCATAGTCTCAGAACTTGAATAAAAAAACCCAACATTTCTATTCAAATCTTAAGATTTACATTGAAACGTTAAGAATAATCGAGACTCTGGCCGAAAACTTGGGTTTTCTTAAGCATCGTGTAGAGTGTATAGTCGGATCTAAGCCAGAAGAACACCCTTCAGGAATGTGAGGCCCTCCGCTGGCCAAAGCACCCCAGACCCTCGGATCGTTCGAAGGTGCCCTCCCCCCCGGGATGCACAAGAGCATCCAACAGACAGGAAGACCATCGGGGCACCCTCCCCGAATCGACCTCGATCTCACACCTCGGTCCGACTGCAATAAGCGCGCCCAGGGAAGGGCCACGCTAACGGCGATGTTGGTTAATGGCGATGTTGGGAATATGGCTTTTGCGGCGCCGAACGCGCGCAGAACTAATGGTAGGAAATCACAAAACTACACGCTCCTACACTTCAAACGCGCGGATGT